TGTCAAAGAATTAATAGCCTTTATGGCAATAGAGCCCATCTGGCCTGCCAAGCAATGTTGATCTGGCCCATGGACACCCTGCTGCTCCCCTGTCTCCAGGCTAATCCGGGCCTGGGGCTGGGAGACCATGCGAAGACTTCCCATCACCACCACCAGGGGTGCCATGGTTAGAGTGAGCCACTAGCTGAAAATCTGGCAGTCTAAGTGCCGCGTACCCTTTGCAGAGTGGGAGCAGGGAGCAAGAGACTTTGCGTGCTCCCCCACCCGCTTGAAGTCTCCTCCCACTGCAAGGGGCGCAGGTGCCTAGAGGGAACCATCAGCTGTTCAGAACCACCAGCTGGTGGTTCTCTGTTGAGGGACAGAGGCAAAGACTTCACAGGCTTCCTCACGCCAGGCCATGGTCTGTGGGTTGGAGCATAGAAGTGTCTTGGTCCTGCCCCTTCTGCCTGAAGTGCTGACCCTGCCGGGGTGGCCTGGCACCACTTCAAATTTTTAAGGCCCCCCCCCTTCTAAAATTATTGCCCACCCCTGCTTTTGAAAATGTTTTATATATGTCTTAATTGTGTTGATGTTTGGTCCTTATTCAAGGGGATTGCCAAAAATCATTGCACTTTTATTTAATGGTCACTCAATTCTTACTTGGACAAAATTCCCGTTCTTGCTATTGGCAATGTGCATGACAGACAGACATGATTTACTCCTCTTGGAGCTAAGTGGAGTTGCATATGGGTGTTTCTTGTATATCAGTGAATAAGTGCATAAAATGATCTTTCAGTATGAAATATCGCTATTCTATATGAAATAGGTAAACTGAGTGCCTGTTTTACACTAGAAGTGTCCTAATTAGTGAGAGAGTTGTTTAGTACTTAAATACTGAAAAATACAATTTTTGCTCTAAAACAATTCTAATGATCTCTTGTTGCAGTGGAAGTTGTGGGGCATGCGATAAAGGCTTACCATAGAAGTCCTTGCTGTTAGTAAGCTTGACATAAGTTGACCACTTGGGCACTACTCGTTCTCATTCTCCCCTCCGATCACAACTTATCCATTACAAACCCACCAATAGTGAATTTACAGAAGTATTGATACCTACCTAAACCTCATGGCAACATTAGAAGTACTGAATAATTTCCCCATCTCCAGTCACTGCAGCTAGATCAAAGGGTCTGCTTCCGCCTTCAGCTACATGCTAATCATGCAAAGAGCATGGCACTGTGGATATGATCTTTGCAGCTCGACAGCTCCAAGAGAAGTGTCAAGAGCAGAATCGTGAACTGTACACCATCTTTGTGGATGTCACCAAGGCTTTTGACACTGTCAGTCGCGAAGGTCTGTGGCGCATCATGTCGAAGTTTGGGTGCCCTGACAGATTCATCCTGATGGTACGTCAGTTCTATGACGGCTCGAGTTCTGGATGACGGAGAAGCTTCAGAGGCTTTTCCCGTCACAAACGGCGTCAAGCAAGGGTGCGTGCCTGCACCGACCCTGTTCAGCATAATGTTTTCAGCCATGCTGTCAGACGCCTTTCAGAACAGTTCCTTGGGAGTCAGCCTGAGATGCAGGACCGATGGGAAACTGTTCAACCTGCGAAGACTCCAGGCTGTCACCAAAATAAAGGAGACTGTGCTACGACTTCCTTTTTGCTGACGACTGCGCCCTGAATGCTGGATCAGAGCAGGAAATGCAAGCCAGAATAGACAAATTCGCAGCAGCATGCGACAACTTCGGCCTTCTCATCAACACAAAGAAAACCAAAGTGATGCACCAGCCAGCTCCGAAAGCCCAACATCAAGAGCCCACCATCACTGTGAAGGGACAAAAGCTGCAAGCAGTGGACCAATTTACATACCTTGGCAGCACCCTCTCCCACGCAGTGACAATTGACATCGAGGTCAACTGCAGAATCGCCAAGGCAAGCTCTGCATTCGGCAGACTGCTGACCAAAGTGTGGGACCGCTGTGGAATAAGCCTTGCTACAAAGTTTAAAGTCTATCGAGCAGTAGTGTTAACTACCCTGATGTATGCCAGTGAGACTTGGACTGTATACAGGAGGCATGCTAGGCAACTGAACCATTTCCACACGATTTGTCTCTGCAGACTTCTGAGGATCTGGTGGCAGGATAAGGTTCCAGACACAGAAGTCCTTTTTAGAGCAGGCCTGCCGTCAGTTCACACCCTGCTGATGAAAGCCCAGACACGCTGGGCTGGCCATGTTGCAAGGATGCCAGACCGTCGCATCCCTAAACAACTCTATGGTGAGCTGTCTCAAGGAAAGTGATTGCACGGGGGGACAAAAGAAGAGCTACAAAGACACGCTTAAAGCCTCTCTCAAGTCCCTGGAAATCGACACCACCTCCTGGAAGACCCTGGCACAAGACCGATCGACATGGCGCTGATCCACCAAGGCTGTCAAACATCTGAAGCCAGAAGGACAACCACAGCACAAGAGAAGCGAGCACTCCGTAAAGCCAGAGTTGCAAACGCTGCAACATTGGTGCCTGCACATGTCTGCCTGACATGTGGCAGAACATTTCATGCCCGCATTGGCCTTATCAGCCATCTGTTGACACACCGTGGACAGCCCACAACTCGTTAGATGTCAAGGTCCTCTTTGAACACGATGGACGAACATCAGTCATCTGATGAATAAACATATGCTTGCAAGCTTCATTAACCTGCAGAAGTGTTTCTGAGACTGACCTATGCATATCTCAGTTTAGACCTTAAAACACCAGATATAAATGTATAAATCACTGAAAACAATAAGGGTATGTCTACGCTACCCCGCTAGTTCGAACTAGCGGGGTAATGTAGGCATACCGCACTTGCAAATGAAGCCCGGGATTTGAATTTCCCAGGCTTCATTTGCATAAGCGGGGAGCCGCCATTTTGCAGCGCGGCTACACGGGTCTCGAACTAGGTAGTTCGGACTAGGCTTCCTATTCCGAACTACCGGTACACCTCGTACCTAGTCTGAGCTACCTAGTCCGAGCTACCTAGTTCGAGCCCCATGTAGCCGCGCTACACGGGGTTCGAACCAGCGGGGATTTAAAAATGGCGGCTCCCCGCTTATGCAAATGAAGCCCGGGAAATTCAAATCCCGGGCTTCATTTGCAAGTGCGGTATGCCTACATTACCCCGCTACTTCGAACTAGGAGAGTAGTGTAGACATACCCTGTCTCTCTTGCATCAATAATATGAGACTGTGTATTCCCATATCTTAATGAAAATTTGCCATGGAATTTAGAAACTTCTGAGAATTTTTTCATTAGTAGTCGAAGTTTGTTTTCTTCTTTGAAAAGAGACTTTTTTTAAATGAAAATAATGTTCAAGATTGAGCACTGGGCATCAGAATGACTAGCGTAAAATATTATATTGACTAACAATTAAAACACCTTTTCATTCCTTAATGTTAGAAATGCTACCCTTTCTTAAAGTAATGTGACAGATGAAATAAAAATTATAGTTTCTGATTTGTTTGTGGGTATTTGGAATTAGGAGTAGAGTCTGTAGCTTAGAGCAGCAGTTGGCAACCCCTGGTCTGTGGGCCGGTACTGGGCTGCAAACCATGTGATAGAAAGCTATTCCAGCAAACATGTATGCACAAAAGTAACGTCACATATCTAATAGTTCTGTTTAGTAGGGGGTAGACTGGGGATGGTGGCCAAGTAACTGGGGGCATTTGATTGAATTTCCATGTCAGCCACAGACTTCCTACGTGAATTTAAGCAAATCATTTAATCTGCTCAGTGCCTCCATTCCACATCTGTAAAACAAAGTTAATACTTCACTACTTCACAGGGATGTTGAGGATAAAATCTATTCATGATCATGAGGGGTTCTGATGGATTTGTGATTAAAATGTAAAATGTATTGACTTATGTTTGCAGTATAGTAATAGAGATGTAGCCGTGTTAGTCTGGTCTTGCTAAAATAAAAGACAGGACTATGCAGCACTTTAAAGACTAACAGGATGGTTTATTAGGTGATGAGCTTTCGTGGGCCAGACCCCCTTCAGATCAAATTGTGGAAGAAAATTGGCATAACCATATATACCAAAGGGATACAATCAAAAAAAGTGAACACACATAAAATTGACAAATCAGATTTTAGAACGGAGAGAGTAGTGGGGGAGGTTAGTGTCTATCAGATAATGATATTAAGGTATTTTCCTTTTTCTGGCATGGGAAGCCTCCAGAAGAGACCAGGGAACACGGTGTTGGCTTCGCAATTAGAAACAACCTAGTTGGCTCAGTCATACCACCAAATGTGGGAACTGAGAGAATGCTGAAAATCCAGCTTCAAACATCAGTAGGCATGGCCAACATCTTCAGCATCTATGGCGCCTACTTTAACTTCTGCCCAGGAAGATAAGGACAAGTTCTATGATGAACTTAGTATTGCCATCAGTGAGGTATCTTCCCATGAGCTGCTATTCATCGTTGGCGACTTCAACGCTAGAGTTGGCAGTGACCATCACAGCTGGCCATCCTGTCTGGGACAGTTTGGAACAGGGAAGATGAATGAAAATGGACAGCGCCTCCTTGAACTCTGCTCCCAACATGATCTCTGCATAACCAATACCTTTTTCAACATCAAACCTCAGCACAAAGTTTCGTGGTGACACCCAAGATCGAAAAATTGTCATCAGCTTGACTTTGTCCTCACCGAACATAAAGCAGCTTCTATTCTCTTGGAATTCACACCTCCAGATCAGCTGCTAGAAGTGGGCCTCATCCTCCTTGATTGGATCCACCTGGTCATCTCCAGCCTGATCCTGGCCTGCATATTTATTCCTGCCTCTGGAAATTTCCACTACATGCATCTGACGAAGTGGGTCTTTGCCCACGAAAGCTTATGCTCCTACACTTCAGTTAGTCTATAAGGTGCCACAGGACTCTTCGTCGCTTTTGCAGATTCAGACTAACACGGCTACCCCTCTGATACTTCAAAAGTATGCGAGTTTGTCCAAGCACTTGAAGAGGCCTTGCCTCATCGGGATGACACTGATGCCTCATCGGGATGACACTGATATCAGGAGGAGATGGGAACTATGGGATGCTATCTATGATACTGCGATATCTATCTTTGGGAAGAAGACAGTCAAGTCTGCTGATTGGTTTGAAGCCTACACTGAAGTGCTGACGCCCATGATTGAGAAGAGACAGGCAGGCACTGGCTGCGTACAGGTCCTCTCCCAGTGAGGAGAACCTGCAGGCGCTCCGGTTTGCTCGGAGTCAAGTGCAGCAGGTTGCTCGGTCGTGTGCCAACGATTACTGGCTCCAACTCTGCTCCAAGATTCAGCAGGCCACAGACACTGCTAACATGCGAGGAATGTACTATGGAATCAAGCAGGTCATCGGTCCATCACAAAGGAAGATTGCCCCACTTAAGTTGGCCACAGGCGAGGTTTTGAAGGACAGAACCAAGCAGATGGAATGCTGGGTGGAATACTATTCACAGCTGTACGCCAGAGAGACCGTAGTTAGAGAGAGCCCTGAATGCCATCGAACCTCTGCCCACCATGACTGAACTTGATGCTGAACCCACCATAGAAGAACTTAGCGATGCGCTAAAAGCACTCTTCTGGAAAAGCCCCAGGGAAAGATGGTATTCCCTCGGAAATCCTTAAATGCACTAACGGTACCCTAGTCTCAGAGCTGTATGGAATACTTTGCCAATGCTGGAGAGAAGGCAGAGTACCGCAAGATATGAGGGATGCTAATATCGTTACTGTCTACAAGAACAAGGGTGACAAAAGCGATTGCAACAACTATCGCGGCATCTCCCTTCTCAGCACCGGGGGGAAGCTATTTGCACGTGTTGTCCTGAAGAGGCTCCATGTTCTTGCAGAGAGAGTCTCCCTGAGTCTCAGTGTGGGTTCAGAGCTGAACGGTCCACCATAGACATGGTTTTCTCTGTTAGGCAACTACAAGAAAAGTGCAAGGAACAGAACAAACCTTTGCATATTGCTTTCATCTATCTGACCAAGGCATTTGACCTTGTCAGTAGAAAAGGTCTGTTTGCGATTCTGGCTAAGATCGGCTATCCTCCAACTCTGCTCAGCATTATCAGGGCCTTCCATGATGGCATGAGGGGGACCATTGTATACGATGGATCCATATCTGAACCCTTCAAGATTCTCAGCGGAGTGAAGCAGGGGTGCGTGCTGGCGCCAACACTGATCGGCATCTTCTTGGCAGTTTTGCTCAAATATGCCTTTGGAGCTGCTACAGAGGGCATCTTTCTCCGCACGAGGACGGACGGCAACCTCTTCAAACTGTCGAGGCTAAGAGCAAAGACCAGGGTGTTTACGAAGCGTCTAAGGGTTCCTTTTTGCTGACGATGCAGCTATTGCTGCTCACACTCTGCAGGAACTGCAGTCACTCATAACTTGCTTTGCGGACACATGTATGGAATTCGGCCCCGCAATCAGTTTAAAGAAGACCCAGGTGATGGGCCAAAGCGTGGGTAGCGAGCCACTTATCAGTGTGTTAGATTACGAACTAGAAGTCGTCCATGAGTTCATGTACCTAGGCTCCATGATCTCAGACAACTTGTCATTTGATAGCGAGATTAACAAGCGCGTTGGAAGAGCCGCCACAACCTTCTCCAGGCTGATAAAGAGAGTATGGGCCAATAATAAGCTCACTGTACACACCAAGGTGCAGGTCTACACAGCCTGTGTTTTGATCACACTGTTATACACTAGTGAAACATGGACTTTGTGCTCAAAACAAGAGCAGCGGCTCAACACATTCCATATGCAGTGCCTTAGGCGTTTACTCGGTATCTCTTGGCAGGACAAGATCCCCAATAGCGCAGTGCTTAAGAGGGTGGGCACCATTTCCATGTTCACCCTTCTCAAGCAGAGGCGTATACGCTGGCTTGGCCATGTCTCTCACGTGTTGGATGGCCGAATACCGGAGGACCTTCTCTTTGGCGTCTGGAATGAGGCCGAAAGGGCGACCTAAATTGCGCTATAAGGACTCGTGCAAGCGTGACCTCGGCGCTTTCTATCAGTGCGAACACCTGGCATTCGCTCGCCTTAGACAAGTATGCCTGGAAACAGGGAGTGAAGGAAGCTCTTCCAAGGGAGTGAAACTTCCTTGGTGAAGGAAGCGGAAGATAAGAGAACCCTCAGGAAGATCCGTGCCCGTGATACCAGAGCGACATCAGCCTACTGCTACTCACAGTGCAGAAAGGACTGCCATTCCCGGGTTGGATTGCACAGCCACAGAAGACGCTGCTCGAATCAGTCCAACAGGGCACAAACCCATGATCCTTCGGGATCGAAGGATGCCTATGATTTGTACAGTAGTGTCCAGGAAATGGATCTCTAATATAGAATGCTCCAAGCTGAGAGTGATGATGGGGTGTAGGTTGTTAAAGTCTCTGTGGAATGCATCCAGTGTTTCTTGGCCATGGGTCCAGATCATAAAATGTCATCGATGTAGCGTAGGTAGAGAAGGGATAAAAGGGGACAGGATCTGAGGAAATGTCGTTCTAAATCAGCCATAAAGACATTCGTGTACTGTGGGGCCATGCGGATACTCCTGGCTGTGCCATTGATCCGGAGGTATAAGTTGTCCCCAAACTGGAAATAATTGTGGGTGAGAACAAAGTTACGTAGGTCTACTATCAGATTGGCAGTGGTATGCTCTGGGATAGTGTTTCTAATTGCTTGTAATACAGTGATATTGAATATAATGCTGTCTTCTTTCTGCTGTCTTCTTATTTGTTCATGTTTGTCTGTCACTGAGTTTGTTAGCTCAAGAACTCCTCATAAATGGTAAGAGCTAGGATGCTGCTTCTTCATATCATAAGTTAAAGAAAGGTCAGGTTGTTCCAGGACAATGGGGTATGCATGGAATATGAATAGCTTCTTATCAAATGGAAAGCGGGACAGTTATACCCCAAAATGAAAACAGGAGGGCAGCAAGCACCGCTAACTTTTGGGAGAAGCTGGCCCTGGGACCTTTGCCGCTGCTCCCTAGTCCCACCACACCTCTCAACCCCCTTTCCTGACTCTTGCACTCCTCGCTCCCTGCCAAGAGCCCTTTCTCAGCCATTGCCCTGACTCCTGCACTTCCACTCCGTCCTGTGCCCATCCTCACTCCCCAACTCCCAATCTCCTGACTCGATTCCCCCGATATCTCCAAGCTCCTTTTGTTACTCTTGTATCCCCTAGCCTTCTGTTCTGAAGGAACCATAGCCACACTGGGTAAGGCTTCTAGTCTTCTGTATATTTGAAAGATTTTTGACTGTCTGCTCAAGAACTCTTCCTAAATGTAATAGAGATGTAGCCGTGTTAGTCTGGTCTTGCTGAAACAAAAGACAGGACTATGTAGCACTTTAAAGACTAACAAGATGGTTTATTAGATGATGAGCTTTCGTGGGCCAGACCCACTTCCTCAGATCAAATAGTGGAAGAAAATAGTCACAGCCATATATACCAAAGGATACAATTTTAAAAAAAGTGAACACATATGAAAAGGACAAATCACATTTCAGAACAGAAGGAGGATGCGGGGGAGGGGGGGAAGGAAGGTGAATACCTGTGAGTTAATGATATTAGAGGTGGGGAAGGGTAGATGTCTGTGAGTTAATAGTATTAGAGGTGATAATTGGGGAAACTATAGCTATAGCAAGAGCTAGGACTACCAGATTTAGTATACAGATTTAAAGCAGTGTCAGGGTTTAGATATTCCTGGAATGGGATTTCTTCTCTATAAACTTTATAGAAGAGAGCTAAAGCAGACAGGTCCCAGATGAGGGATTTTGCCACACTGAGGGGGGCAGGTAATTTGTGGCCCCACCTGCCACAGCTCTCCCCTAAGCCCTTTTGTCTGGATCCCCGCCTGCTGCCAGCCTCACCATCCTGCCAGCCCCATAAGACACCTCAGGGCTGCCTGATGCTGGCCCTCTAATGAGCCATCCAGACCAGGGATGTTGCCGGACCAGAGCGCCCTGGTTTAGAGCATTTCAACCTATGGTATGCTTTTTAGGCACAGAAAAATTAAAAAACTATAGTTTTGAAAACTATAATAAAATTGTATTGGGAATGAAACTGATGATAGCCCATTTTTGGTTAAAACATAGTGAATGACAGGAGTTTATAGGGATGCATTAAAATATATATTTGATGGAATTCCCATTTTAAAAAAATGTACAAAAAAATTAAATGGACACATTTTAACCATCCCTTTTTAAAGAAATCCTAAATGAAAACTTCATAAAATAACTATTTGAAAAATACAAAAATTTAAATAACGCATGTACATTTTTTTCCTTTCATTTCCCCCCCCCTACCCCCCCAATGGAGTTAATGACTTGGGAAATGCTGGGTAAATGTTACAGTGTGTCCCCACTATCAGTCACTATACATCCGTTCTGCACTGAAGTCGTTGACATTTGTAGGATCTGGTATGTTTAGAAGTCTTCCCATTCCCTGCTCTGAAGTTACGCAAAAAACACCAGCCATGGGGGGAAAAAAAATTCCCTGCTTTAAGTTTTCAATTTAAGTGAAAGTTTTTTGGAATATATGTTGAACTTATATATAGCGAGGCCGGCCTGTAGTTGTACATATAAATATGATTGTACAAACTTTTGAATGTTTAAGAGGGAAGGAGTGACACTTTTTTGTTATGTTTTTAAAATATCTATTGTTCTTGTGTTTTGGAGATATTTAGTTCTGTCTTGGCATAGCAGTTATTACTTCCAGGGGAATTGTCTGCTTTGGCCTACTGTATTTAAATGAAGCAGAAGCATTGTTTAAAAATCTGGTTCTAGTGGTTCAACATTCACTTTATGGTTTCATCTGTCAGTCCCCGCAATACATGAAGTTCGAAAGGGATGTTACACCCTATACCAGCCTTGGGGTGTAACTGGCTATGGCTCACCTGCGATGGGCAGCCATTTTTGTTGTTCTGTCTCGGACATCATCAAGCTGCAGCCTTAGAAAAAATACACACTTTTTTTTTTTGTTTACGAACTTCTTACACTAACGTGCTTGGTTTCCAAAGGTGTTGAGCAGCAAAGGTTCTGAGTCAGTGACCATTGTTCCTGTTACATCTTGAAAATCAGGCCCTACTATACTTTACTGTTGCATGATATTTACAATTTAATTAAAGGCTTTGTTTCTAAATGTTATGATTGTTCAGTGTAACAGGGTAGTAATGTT